TCTCGGCCTCCCAAAGTGCTGGGATTACAGGCTTGAGCCACCGCGCCCGGCCTTTTTTTTTTTTAATTGTGAGACAGGGTGTTGCTCTGGAGTGGACTGCAGTGGCATGATAGCTCACTACAGCCTCAAACTCCTGGGTTCAAGCAGTCCTCCTACCTCAGACTTCTGAGTTGCTAGGAATACAGGCACATGCCACCACACCGAGGTAGTTTTTTATTTTTTGTAGAGATGGGATTTCGTTATGTTGTCTAGGCTGGTAAAATACTTTTTATTGGAACAGCAGGGTAAGTTTTATATTGGCTAGGTATTACACTGTATTAGGGAATTGATAACTTTTTTTTTTTTTGACACAGGGTTTCACTCTGTTGCCCAGGCTGGAGTGCAGTGGCACAATCAGAGCTCACTGCAACTGCTTCCCAGGCTCAGGGAATCCTCCCACCTCAGTACCTATCCGCCGCCCACCCCCCCAAAAATAGCTGGGACTACAGGCACATGCCACCACGCCTGTCTGATTTTTTTGTATTTTTAGTAGAAACAGGGTTTTGCCATGTAACCCCTGCTGGTCTTGAATTCCTAAGCTTAAGGGATCCCCCTGCCTTGGTCTCCCAATGTGTTGGGATTACAGGCGTGAGCCGCCTCGTCCAGCCAATAACATTTTTAAATGTTGTTATATGGTTTGTAAGAAAACATTCTTATTTTTAGGAGATATGTATAAAAGTATTTAAGAGTGATAAATGATGTCTATACTTTCAAATAGTACAATAAAACAAAAATATACAGGAAGAGAGAGAATGCAGACATGGCAAACTGCTAACAGTTGTTGAATCTAGGTATTGGGCATGTGGACTTTTGCTGTATTTTCAACATTTTTGGCTGCTTGAAATTTTTTATTATAAATGTATTTAAGGATTAAAATTTTTTTTTTTTTTTTTTTTTTTTTTTTGAGGCGGAGTCTCGCTCTGGCCCAGGTGGAGTGCCGTGGCCGGATTCTCAGTCACTGCAAGCTCCGCCTCCTGGGTTCACGCCATTCTCGGCCCTCAGCCTCCCGGAGGCTGGACTACAGGCACCCGCCACCTCGCCGGCTAGTTTTTGTATTTTTAGTAGAGACGGGTTCACCGTGTATAGCCGGGATTGGTCTCTGATCTTCCTGACCTCGTGATCCGCCCGTCCTCGCCTCCCAAAGTGGCTGGGATTACAGGCTTGAGCCACCGCGCCGGCTTTTTTTTTATTTATTGTGAGACAGGGTGTGCTCTGAGTGACTGCAGTGGGCCATGATAGCTCACTACAGCGCCTCAAACTCCTGGTTCAAACAGTCCTCTACTCAGACTTCTGGAGTTGCTAGGAATACAGGCACATGCCACACACCGACGGTAGTAGTTTTTATTTTGTAGAGATGGATTCTTATGTTGTCTAGGCTGGTAAAATACCTTTTTTTTTTTTTTTTTTTTTTTAGAT